AAGGTCAAATGTCATATGCTGGTCGAAGATGATGACATGCTATCTAACTTTGGAGCATTATTTAGCCTCTTTCCTTTTAAAACAGAGCCTCTGAAAGACAGTGAGGAGTGGAAGATGGAAGGATAATGTGGTTGGCCAATCTGATTTCCCTCCTGGACACTCCCCTGCATTATATAATTAAATTTAATATCTGTTTCATGATACTAGTCAAAGTTTAAAAGAAGATGGCCTAGAATTATTTATTATATCTTTTTCAGAACGTCTGAACTGTTTAACAATAATTTCTGTAATATTTAATTGGTACTCGGTATTTGCAAGTACCCCAAAAAAAGAGGTATCCGTTCCGCCCTAATCTTCCAGTACAACCTCTGTGTGCGTCGCAGTAAACGTATCTTCACCTTGTCGAACAGGGCGATGTACAGCGAGAAGCCGAAGCGATCTCTCAGGTTGATCTTTTCCGCTAGAGCGTTGCAGAGCTCACTGGCGGTGGTGGCCGAGTCCGCCAGGAGAGTCTTGGTGGTGCCGTCCATGAACGTTACCGGAAGCATGATCGGCTTCTTGGATTTAGTGGCCTGAAAAAGATTCAGATTCAAAAAGTGCTTAATAACACAAAAATAGTGAAATACAGAAATACGCATCTTAGGATTGTTGAAGGAATCATGATCAGTGTAAACAGTCACATGACGGTTCAACAGAGTAAATCACACCTCAAACATCCAACACAATGTCAGGATATAACAGACAAACAGACAAACAGAGAAATAAAACCTCCTAATATTACAGTTTTCAGTTCATCCAGGCAAGAAGACGCATGACATTTTCCTTTTTTATGTTTGTTTTTGCCCTGATTAAGACTTGCAAAGCTATTTTAAAGACAGATATTAGATATTAAAGCGTTTTTAAATCACTACCTTCTAATATAAACTAGTAGGCGCCAGAGGGACACCTTTATTCACACCTGAGCAGCCCTCCATGTAGTTTGTATTAAAAGTTGTGTTGGTTCTGCTGTGTACAGTTTTTATGATAATTTGTAGAGTTTCTACAGGTTCAGTAGTTCAATTTAAGACTTTTTAAGATGTTTAAATATCTCATAGAATTAAATTTAGTATCAGTTTCAGTACATAACAATAATTTCTGAAGTATTTAATAAATCTAACGTGAAATAAGCAGCAACAAATGCATGAATGGATCCAACTGATTACAAACTATTAAAGTTTTTTTTTGCTAAAATCCACAAAAATCCTCTGTTTAAAATACTTTTAGTTTGTAGGATAACGTCTCCTGACAAAAAGAAACATTTCATAACACTTGAAGGAACCGAATTCACTGCTCTTTTAATTCTTTCAGTACCTGTAATTCCAACCAAGACGGCGGCTGGGTTCTTGTGCGGTTCACAAATGTCCTCCTCAATCTTTCCTCGCAATATGGAGCATAACCAGGGGGACCGTTGATTAGAAATGTCCTTAAATACTGACAACAGAGGGAAACAGGAGGAAGGGTAAATAAATAAAAATAAATCATCAAAGTTGATCAAAGCTTTGATCAGAGGCTTTTCTTACTTTGACAAACTTCTCAGAGGGGGCGAAGCAGCCGACGCAGAGCGACAGCAGGATCCACCCTCGAGCGTGGCTGCTCTTGGACGGATTCTGAGTGAGCTGTTTGCAGATCTGACAGTAGATTTCATCCCTGAGACGGAAAAACAACAACAGCTGAACAAAACCAGATCAAAACACAGAAGAAAAATTATATTTTGGTGATAAAACTGGGTTTTATTTTTAAGTTTTACAAGGCTACAAGGTAGATTTATTCATAATTTCAGGGTTGTATAAGGAGATTCATTTGTAGTTCTCTTTATGTTACTCAAAAAACAAACATTATATACAATTATTATATGTAGTAGATGGGTGAATAAATACTATAATACTGTCAGCATCATGTTAGAAAGTAAAAAACAAAGTGCAGCAGAACCAGAACTATTATCTTTTTTAATTCTGTGCAGTTTTCTGTCAGAACCCACCGCCTACATTACCCACAATCCAACTTGATCGGTGCGTTATGCAAGTAGCGGCTAATGTAGCATCGAGAGATGAGGAGACCAAGGTCTGGCGAGCTCACTCCTTTCTAACTTATCATTTTAAAACTTCTTTGAAGTCTTCAGCTCCGAACCGAGTGACATCCCTTGAGGCAATTTAATCAGACACACAGTCAAAAAAAAAAGGCTTTAAAGAACTTTTTTGTGTATGTTCTATAAAAAATACCTTGTAGCACAGAACTGGACCTGACAGCCATATTACTTTGATTTATTGGGGAAAAATTGGGAATTTGTTTGAGATAAAGATCTTATTAAATAGCAAATATAAAAATTTAACAGGTTTTTTTAAATTGTTATTGTATTTAGTCCACACATTCATGCTCCACAGATTATTATACTTTTATACTATTATACCACCCTCAAGTCCTTTTCTTTAGCTCCATCCTCAGGAAAAACTCACAAAAGTAAAAAATCTTTAAAGAGTTTATAACTGACTGAACCCAGAGCGCTCATAAACTAGACTAGACTTTGTGTTGACATTAAAGGAAGTTCAGGAACTAAAAGTACACTTTGTAGGTCACCTGAGAGCGGGCCGTAAGATGCCGTTGCCGATGATGAAGTGAAGTTTCTCCAGGTTGGAGGTGGGTCGGTCCTCCAGCATGCTGTTGCCCTGGAGCCCGTAGTCAACCTCTGTCAACCGCCTGGTCACCTGCAACACACATCAACCAGGTGTCATCCACATCTGTAACTTTATATTGTAAACTGGATTTATTTTAAACCGGTTGTTAACCAGCGATCTTTGGGTTGCAGGGTTGAGCCCCAAAAATGAAATATTAGGACGAGAGGTTCTGATGTTGAGACTAAAAAGGTTCAGAGGTGGTTAATTCGTGTGATGTTTATAAAGCTTAATATCAAAAAGTTCCCAAATAGTTTAAAAAAGAGCAATATAAAGACAGAGAAGGGACAACAGGAGGACTTTTGACTGATTCCTGTGATCTGACTCCACACAAGTAAAAACAATATTAGAGCTTTTATGAGTGTGTTTTGTTCCATGATGCCCAAATGTTGTTTAAAGGTGGCAGCGTTGCGAAGTGGGAGGTTTGATTTAAGGCGCCCCTGGTTTAGGAAGTATAAACCACATAAATTTTCCCGATAGAAAACGTTATGTGATTCACAGCTGAAGCACTCAAATCATCAGTGTGTTAGAAAATATGTGGTTCTTTGATAAAAAAGGTATAAACCAGTTTGAAACTCGTAGCCTCACAAGAAAAGACCACACGAGATATGGGGAGATGGTGATAACATTTAAAAGAAGGTTTGAGTCTCACCTCCTCAGTGATCTTTGATTTCCTCTTCAGGGTGAGAGACACAAGTTTATGTCTGACGCTGTTCCTCTTCTGGCTTTCTATGGAGCTGTTCTGTAGACACAAACACGGAGCGACGATGACGTTAACGGTTTGTTAATTAACAGATCTGAGCAACGATCTGACCCCTTCAGCATCGTCTCACCTCTCCCTCCACCTGCAGTTCCTGCAGCTCCCTCTTGTAGGTCCTCTTGCCGAGGGTTTCGTAGATCTTGGTCATGACCGGGATCTTCTCGCTGCCGTCGTTGATGACCAGCTGGCATTTTGGCTCCGGGAGGTCTCCCATGAACCTCAACACGGTGATCCACACGGCTAACGCAGCCTGGAGGACGAGACAGGATGTTTAAATGAGTAAACTGTCAGTTATAATGTGTTTTTTCTTAGCAGGCACACTTAAAGGCTCAGTAAGAGTCCAGCATTTTTACTGATTATTTGTATTTATTTATCGGCTTTTATTGCATCTGAATCAACTTAAAAAATGAGACCCTGAATTTCTCAGTTCCCAGTGGATTGATTAATATATGTTTCTATGTCAGGATGTCTCACCAGCTGGTCTCCTTCGTCCTCGTGGAACAGTAACGGTTGTTTTAGAGGTCGTCTGATGTACGTGTGAGTGGAAACACCCTGGAAGTAAGTGGCCGCAAACTTGGAGAACTTGTACTCGGACAAATCCTCATCCTCCTCGTCAGGCAACGGCGGAGCTTCGTTCATCACCTCTTCTTCGGCTTCCTCGCCGTGAGGAGTGTTCTCCAAGTCCTGAGCAGCGGGAAAAAAATAACACACAGAGACAAGAAATACATCAAATTTTGCAACAAGTCACACAGTTATCAACTAGATAATCAATCTAACTATCTAACTATCAATCTAGCAGCTAAAGACAGTTGATGAAGACCAATGTTGCTCTGGTGGACATGGAAACAGGAAATATTTGATGTTTTTTATTCTTATTTACTTGCTCTTACTCATTCAATTGTTTTATTAATTGTCATTTAACTGCCTTGTTTGTTTTTTTTTACCTTTGTGCAGCACTTTGTAACATTGTTATAAAAAGTGCTCTATAAATAAGGTTTATTATTATTACAGTTAAAGGATCGCGAAAATCACACAATTTATCTTGTGTGAATGTCTGTAAAAATGTATCCATCCAATATTAATAAACATTTCACTAAAAAATACAAACTCATGTTGCCTCATCCTCAGAGCTGTGCTGCTAACGTGGCTAAAAATTAAATTACTTTAACTTTAACAAAAAACCACAAACACATACTTCAAACCCAGCTGGTGCTTGTCCGTCCTGGTTGGGCAACGGCCCCGAGTTCCCCAGGAAACCAAACATGCGGTCGACCATATCCGAGTGATCCACGGGCTGCTCCTTCTCCCTCTCCATCTGCTCCAGCAGCTCCTTCTTCCTCCTCGCCTCCTCCTTCTCCTCCCTATCCCTCTCCTCCTGCTGCTGGGCCAGTTGGATGAGCCTCTCCTGGTGTTTCCTCTCGGCCTCCAGCTTGGCCCGCCGAGCCGTCATCTGGTTTCGCAGCTGCTCCTCCTCAGCCAGGCGCTGGCGCTCGGCTTCCTGGCGATGCTGCAGCTGTGAGGGGAGGTGAGGGAGGAAACAGAGGGTGGGAAAAGGGTTCACAAAGGCAGGTAGGGTGTGATACTGGTTAGCATTTTATTCTTTTATGTCAGCTTTTGACTCGTTAAACAAACTAGAGCAGAGGAACTGAAGGGAAACAGCTTTTTCTTATTGTAATTCTAAGAAATGCACAACAAAGAATATAAACTATTCTTTAAAAGCTGAGCACAAAATACTAAAACTTTTATCACTATTCAGTGTTTTAAAGGGGGCTTCCAGTTAGTGCTACAGCAGAATAAATCTAAACCTCTACACGCTAACATGACAAGCAACCAATGTAACAGCAGCTCTGGTCCGGACTCGAGCTGCTCGGCTCCACAAAGAGCTCACCCACTTAACTTCCTCCTTGTCGGGGTCGCTGGAGCCGTGGCATTGCTCAGGATATATTATTTCATAGCTCTACAAGAAGCTGTTTATACCAAGTTGATGACAAACTGAGATTAAACAAATATTCACCAAAACAGATAATTTATTCAACATTCTTTCAGGACAAGAAGAGAGAAAGAAATGTGCAACAGCAGCAGATAAAAAATAAAATAAAATAAAAACATGCTTAAAAGCTCACAAACATTTCAAATATTTCACAAACAGAACAGGTTTATTATAAAATGTATAAAAGAAGGTTTTATGGTGACATATTTTAGGCTAAGATCACAGGTCTCTTTTTATAAAATTGTTACTGATAACAGTTCGTTATACAGAGTGATCGATCGGCCACGTGTGCGTTGATATAAAAGTAGGTAGGGTAGTTTATTTTACTAGTCAGTGCAACACCATGAGGGCGAGAGCTGGAAAAGGTCACAAAATCACATCTTATTTAACCCTGAGGATTTTATATGGATTAAAACACAATCCACCAGACCATGACCCATCGGCATCAAGCACATTGCATTAGCAGGAAGTCTGATACAGAAACGGCATTGAGAATCAGTGAGATTTTCAGATTAAAATACCCCGTACCGACTCCGAATTTAATCAACATCGTGGCACCAGGCTAGAAATCTCACACAGAGGCAGGTCAGAACGGGATCTGACACCACGGACTCGGGCTGGGCGACTGGACGAATATATGGGCCATCGCTGGTTGTTTATTTTAGCAGATTTTTGGGCCAGTTTTTGCTAATTAAATGGTCTGACTTCAAAGAACGAGTGAGAGTTTATTTCCACTAGTTTGACAACAGGGAATACAGTTACAAGGTGATTCACAGAGGCTCCAACCAAGACTGTAACTCCAGGGAAGATGGGGACACAGCAGGGACAGCCCCAAACCGGAGAGACATGAAGCGGGTAGAGGAGCGAGGGAGGTCGGGGGAATCAGAGAGGCAGAATTTTTTCAGGTCTAACTCTGTCAGACAGAAGAGTTAGACCTGAAAGATCACCTAACAAGGTCTTAGTTCGTGAGAGAGAGAAACTTGAATTCAGACGCTGTACGGTTGTAGTTTTCTGTTTAATGCAGAAAGACTGGTGTTTTTCTTTTCCTTTCTCCACATTTAGTGAGTTTATTGTGTTTATTAAAGCTATTAGAGCTTGTTGTTCAAAGTAAACTCGCTGCAACTACTGGATATATATAAATAAATCGCCAATTGCTGATTGTTGAAAAATGTTAACATATCACACAACCCTACCAGGGACGACAAGAAGTACGTGTTGGAAGTGGAGAAACACGCCGCTTTGTATCCCTTTTAAGGATAAAACACACAAGTCAACAACATCGGGCAGGCAAGACGCTCTGAAATTCTCTCGGTGGGAGTCATAAAGCCGAGCCCGGTGGGATTTCAGTGTAATTAGAGATCTTTTTTTAACCATCGGAGAGAGCAAGGCTACCTGTTGTGCTCCTGTTTCAAGTCTTTACGCTAAGCTAAACAGCCGTTGCTTCATACAGATATGAGAGTGGCATTGAACTTCTCTCAGCAGGAAAACAAAATGTCAAACTATTGTTTTAAGGTTTAAAACAGTAGTGATGAGATATCCCACAAAACCTCCGACAGTATCGAATCACGGCATTCAATGAACAGATATAATAAGGCTTTACAGTTTCTTTTAGCCCACTCAGATACGTGACACAGTCTCTTTCCCTTACTGCCATTAACACCAATGGCCATGTCTCTCTGGCACGTCAGCAACACGACAAATGTAGCAGTAGTAAATATAATGACTGTTTACCTCTGCCCTGAGCCTCTGGCAGAGGCGTCTGGCTATCATGCCCCTGGTGTAGGCCTGAAGGGTCAACACGGCACGGAGACGGCGCCAAAATGTCCGCCGGATGAGGAAGCCACGACAACGGGCTTGCATGAGAGTAACGCGGAGGCGAGTCGTCCGGTAGCTTCTGTAGTGCTTCCTCGACCTGTAGACAGCCTGCAGGCGCAAGAAGCCAGACTGCATCTGCAGGAGAGAGAGGAAGTGTTTTTAAAGGGGATATTAGATTATTAATTCCACTTGTGCTGCTCATATTAACATCACAAAGGGAGTTAAATGGGGAAAACATTCATATTTAAAGGAAAAACGATGCATTAAAAGGTGTAAAAGGACTCACAATTTGGTAATTCTTCCTGCATCGATAACCTCTCCAGGCCTTCTGGATAACAATCACAGCACTCTTCAGTCTGAGGAAGTTAGTCCTACAAAGAGGAGACAGAAAGGAGCAAACTCACAAACTCAAAACAGCCCCTGACGTCCTGAAAGTGAAATTATTCAATTATATTTAACATGTAGAGTTCTTTACCTCTCTTTAAGTCCACGCACAGCCTTCTGGATGAGGATGACCTTGTCAGTAATGGCCTTGTCCCTCTCGATCTCCAGCTGCATGTCGTGGTGATCCTGGTGGGAAACAAGCAGCCAATAAAAGAGGTAAAGAGGAGGTTTATATATATTCATTTTATTACCTTAATCAATATTCATTAAAATAAAGACGACCATCTGTTTGGAACAATCTTCTTCCATCACTACAGTCAATATCTACATTATGTTTATTCAAAAAACATCTAAAAAAGGCCTTTAATTAGCAAAGATAACGTGTTAATTTGGTAAAATAATACATTTCTATCAATATTGCTGCTATTACTGCTTGAATGTTGTATTACACAATCTCTTTTTAAATCCATTTTTGGCTAAATAAATAAACTAAACTAAGGGTCTTAAGGTGGCTTTCTGACCTTGAGGCACTGTGTTAAAATCTTTTTAAGATCCCCTCCAGACAGATTACAACATGTACAAATAATCAGCTTGGAACAATAATGTCTGATATGTTTTTTCGGCTAAATAAAATTGTATAATTTCCACATTAAAATCCCTATAAAGTCACAATCTACTTCCTTCTAGCTCATTAATAGCTCATAGCTCAGCATCATACAGAATATATAAACATGCAGATTTTGTTCATGTCCCCATACTTCACTGTAAAGTCCAGTCTCAGTGTTTGTGCACTACCGGCTTCAAGTTTCTACATCACACTTATAAGTTTCATGCTGACGTTCACAACCTGTTTTTAAAGCTTTACATCTTTAGTAATAATGACTGAAGCTGGGAATGAGAGCCACAGAAGGAAGCTGGAAAGTTTTAAGAGACAGATTAACACTCTGGTTTTTGTTTCTTTCATTGGATCTGATTTAACTGTCAATAAATTGATGCCATCAAAAATGTATTTGGATCAGACCAAAGTATCTGTTGAACTGTTGGATACACGTTTCCATTTCCTTTGGCCAAGAGGCTGCAGAAACACTGAAAACAACTAAAAACCTCCAGGACTCAAAACAACAAAAACAACCTTTAGGAAGATCTTGGTCTTTCCAATCTGCCAGTCGTCGTGTTTCCCCAGCCGGGCCAGGACTATCTGCCGGCAGGTCCCTCGTAGGTCTTCCTGGAAGGAGAGAGAACCACGTAGAAGTGACGACTCCTGGACCAGTAATGGCTGTTAAACAGACGCTCATCACAAACAGTATGATGTATGAGAAATGTCGCAATCAGCTGATACTTAGATATAATAGATATTCATCAAACAAACATGTTTTCAAAACATTAGAGGTGAATGATGCTTCCTGGCTGATATCTGAAGGCCGACACTAGTTAAATTAATCTATAAATGAACTGGTCTAGCTGTCGGGTTCTTGTGCCATTTCCATTCCCTGGTTTAAAACAAGGAATATCTTATTTTAAAAGCAAAAGTAATTTTAATTTTAAGCTGCTAAAGCATCACCACAGACATGTTTAAACATAAGTATAATTATTGTGAAGTTGCTCATCAGGCATATAAACATAAAGCTGCCAGAGAATACGTCAGGTTTTATGGAAAATTTTGTTTTCTCGTTAGCAATCATAGCAACATTGGTGTCAGACAGAGCCTACATTTTCTATTTGTTTCCTTAAATTAGAGTTAGGAGTTCGTTAGTTATCAGAGCTTAGCATAAAGACTGGAAGCAGGTAGAGACAGTTAGCGTTTCAAACATACATCTACCTATCCCTCTAAAGCTCCCTAATCATACAGAACAGAACAGAACAGAACAGAAATAGAGAAACAACTATTTGTTGTTTAAGAGTAACGTGGTTGACAACCGGAGGCACCGACTATAAGCAGGTTTGCACCGGTAAAAACAGCAAATAACTCCCAATAAAACCATAAACTGACACTTCTGTGTGTCTATAACCAAACGGTTTTAATTAGTGAGCTTTAACGGTGTTGGCAAGCTTATCTTTAACAAAGCCAGGCTAGCTATTTCCACCTGCCCTAACCCTAACCCAAATAAACTTCTATTCAACTTAAACTAATTGAGGCATCAGCACAAATCTGAGTAAGCTAAGTAGAAATATATGTGTTTGTGTAGTTTGGGTGAACTGACCCTTTAATCTAGTTACTTTAAACAGGTTTAATCGGGACTGAAGAAGATAATAGAGCTGTAACAGATGGCAGTGGTTGTGTGTTTGACCTGTATGTGAGCAGGTTTGATGCCAGGCATGAGTACTCGGTAACGCTCCACAAACTCGGCAAACGTGTATCTGATGGGATAACCGGCCCGCCTGATCCTGATGGTCTCCATCATGCCGGAGTATCGCAGCTGACGGACACACAGCGCTCTGTCGAATAACTGAGAAACAGAGAGAGAGAGAAATTAAAAGCAGAGGTTACAAAAGCTGAATATGAATATGAAGGTACAGCAGGTTAACTTAGCTTAGCACAAAGACTGGAAACAGAGGGAAACAGCGAGCCTTCACAAGAGACTTCGGCTGAATGTGTCCAAGCTGCAAACTTTACGATTTAGGCCTCCGCTAACTTGAATTGAGATAAAACGTGCAGCTCTTCTAGACTTTCCAAATGTTATCGAACAAATTCTGATTGTGAAATTAGTAATTTTGTGCACAGTTCACAGTGAACGTTTATCAGGCTTGGGCGCATGTTGCAAAGAAATTGTGGTAGAAATGTCAATTTTGCTTATTTTTTTGGTATAATTTAATAGAAAAGGAGTCCAACTTTTTACAGGGAGAATAAAATCACAAGTATTTTGATTCAGACAATTCAGAAATGCACTCAGAGGATCCACCATGTAGCTCCTGGTCGGTAATAACAAACATTTTAGGGATGCAAGATCACCTTGAACCTGATATACAAACAGGGTAAAAGTATTTAGTGAAGAATACGCAGACACACATAAAACTTTGTCTCACCAGAGGTTTTTTGAGCTCGTTGGGTTTTATACAGCGAACGAAGAACGGCTGACACACACTGAGCGTCCTCATCAGCATCTCCAGGGAACGTTTGAACTGACTGCTCAGAGTCGGAGAGCGCTTCCTCGTCTCGACGCCCTGCAAACAAATAATGGAAACGTGTCCACAACCAGATACCAGATACAGTAACTGAGTCAGAGGATAATTAGCTATAATTCCATCATGCTAACAATAATTTGTCTTTATGAGACAACATGTTTCCTTTCTCGTCTTACAAGACACTGAAACTACATCTTAAGTCTCATCAGTTTAACAACTTTCTTTTGTTTTTACCCACAAATTATTTTGTCTTGTTGCTTTAATTAAAATGCAAAATGTATTATTTGTTGGCAGTTGTAGTCGTAACACAAAACGTGTTAAAAGTCCTCTCCAGTCTCCAGACATTAAAACAAGGTAACATTTTCATATTTAGTTTTTTAAAAATATTAAAAATTGAGGAATAAACATTGAAATCTCTGTATTAAAAGTGCTGTAAAATAAAAAGTTACCCAGCAGCTACTGTAGGACAGGTTACACAGCAATCAGGAATAGTGTAATTAACAGAAATTCTCCGTTATTGGAATTCAAAGAAATGCTGAGTCATATCAGCCCGGTCTCAAACAACCAAAATAACTAAAACCAGATGAAAGCTACTTAGTTTGTGGCTTTTTTTTAGGGTGTGGTGAAAAAGGATTTTAAGAGACACCTCGAGACAAAACACGTCTCTTTAGTCAGCAAAGACTGATCGCTTAGAGGCGAGTGAAAAACAGAATCAATCACTCTGTCAAATACTGAAGCTCAGGGTCAGTAGGAGCACAAAGAGGAGCCATTTATTTCACAGATTATCTCATCTAGTATCAGGATGTTGTGAAAGTTTTTTTTATACACCTTACTGCAGCTTTAAAGGTTCAGTGTGTAACATTCAGGAGGATTTGTTGGCAGAAATTTAATATGATATTCATAAGTGTGTTTTTATTAGTGTATAATCACCTGAATATGAGAATTGTTATGTTTTTGTGACCTTAGAATGAGACGTTTTTTATGTACATGGCGCCCTACAGTAACCCAGAATGGACAAAACAAATGCTGGCTGTAGATTTTGTGTTTTTTTCACAGCCTCCGTCGTTACAGATGTGAGCGGTGTTCAGTTAGTTGCAAATCTGAAACGTCACCGCTAGATGTCGCTAAATCCTACACACTGGTCCAGTAAAATGGTAAAACACACGGGGTGCACACACACACACACACACACACAAACACACACGATGATTACTACTGCACACAAACAAACAAACAAACAAACAAACAAAACAGGAAACAAAACAAAATCTCTGACAGCTCACTGTAATCCTCTCAGTGAATCCAAACAGAAAACCTGACAGGACTCTGAACGTTACAGAAACCACACAAGGGTTTTTTGCCTTCACATGACGAGCAGGACGAGGACTGAGCGTCAGAGAGTTTGCAGGTTAATTCGTCATTAACTTGCTAAAATCTTATCAAATAAAACACACTTCTCTCTGGTTTCTGCTACAACAAACTGCACACCTGTAGGATAAAAAGAAGAGCTTAAGGAAAGGAGGAAAGGGGGGATGCTGCTATCTGCAGGTACACTGAGGATATTCTGGATTTGTGGGTTTTTTTTTAAATTTGTTTAAGAACACACACACACACACACACACACACACACACACACACGTGTTGCTAAAAGCCGTTGATTACCTTGGGAGTGGGGGTGCTGGGCTGCTGATAACCACACAGAAACTGATGTCAGCGGGAAAAGACAGAGGAAATAGAGAAGAGACAGCAGAGTGAGAGGAAGGGGGTCTGCCGTTAGTAAAAAGCCGAGACATCGTGAGGAGAAAAGCTAAAAGGGAGGCAAAAGTCACCGGTGACATTATCACGTGAAGACACCTTTAAAAAAAAGTCATAATGGAGGCAAAAAATATTAGTCCACCATTACAGATATTAATGCAAAAAATCTAAAAAAAAGAGGTATTTACAGGATTTGTTGCTCTCACCATGGCGACGTCAGCCTGGAAGATCTGCTTGATGAACTTGTTCTTGGACGAGTGGACGAGCTGGATGATGTCGGTGTGGAGGCTGTCGCGGTTTTTCTCCAGGAACCCTGAAAGGGGAGGAAGATAAAAGAGACACAAACGAAAGCAGGAGCTGTTAACAGGAAGTCATAACGGACGAACACATGGAATCCTACGGCTCTGACAGGGTTCCTGCTCTCTTTTGAGAAATCAATTTCCAGTAGTTTTTCTTGACGATACAGGACAATGAGGGGCTAAAATTAGAGATGCATGATAAATTATCGGCTGATATTTCTAATAAATATTAAATAATCCATCTTTGCTCGCCACATCTCAGCCTCTTACTATCAGGTGTGAAAAAACGACTTATTTTTAAAAATACAATAATGGGAAATTATCAGTTATCTTATTGGTATCTGCTGTGAGAAGCAGGTAATTATCACTTATCGGCTGAAATAAAATCCATATTGTGCATCCTTGGCTAAACTACAATAAAAATAGATAATTTCCAGGGTATTTGGTCTTTATAATGAATTGCCAGATGTTTCCAGGTCTGGAAAACCAGTCTCTAATTTTCTAGAATAACAATTGAATTACTTTTCTTCACAGAAATTAACAAATTTCTGAGATAAATCGGCCTACTGTGTATATTTTTAATGTTTCTTACAGCCTTAAAAAACCAAGAAGGCCTCACGACCCTCCTGTGAAGCTTTGTCGACCCCTAGTGGGCATCCCGACCTCCATGTTAGGAACCAGTGGTCTAAGAGACAGGTTGATGGATGTGAATGAAGAAACTTGACTACTTTTTTCCCACACAGAAAAAAGAGAAATCAGGAATTAATAAGGGAATCAACAAAGAATCGGACTAGTAACCAGTATCGATGATAACAGCGGTGTGTTCGGGTCGACCATATTTTGGATTCGGGCTGTTTTCTCACATTTAATCAGACCTTTATTTTACCAGGATCCTCCAGAGAAGAGGGAGATAAGAAGGCTCATAAAATAAAGCATGAAAACATGGACGAGGCTAATGAAACCCAAACAAACCTCTGGTCTCGTAATGCACCACGCCAGCAAAGTGTTGGATACCAAACTGGGTTTCGTAGCTGTTTTTAGGACGGATGTAGTTGGAGTTGAGCTTGTGCTGTGAGTTGAGCTTATACAGCATTGTAGCATCAGTTCCCTGATAAAAAGACAAAGAAACAATTAGAAAGAAAAGCAGAATACTGGTACATCTGTTAACTTCTTATAGTGAATTATAGCTACTTTAAATGATTCCTCTAAGTGGCCGAACACACTCCCTTTGTATTGTACCTTAGGGAACTTGCTCTCTTCGTCAATGAGGGAGATGATGTTCATGGGTTTGTTGGCGATCATGTCCAGGGCGTCCTGGTTGTCGGTGAACTCGATGTGCTGCCAGCTGATGTCCTCCAGGTTGTACTCCTCCTGCTCCAGTTTGAAGACGTGGCGAACAAAGAACTGCTGCAGGTTCTCGTTGGCGAAGTTGATGCAAAGCTGTTCGAAACTAAGAGAGAAAAATCAAGAAGAATGAAGAAGGAAGTGACACTCAAATAAGATGTTTCTACGTGAGATAAATGGATCAATAATGACGGTTTCTACTTAAACAAAGTGTAAATCACCTGTTGACGATGAAGTTCTCGAAACCGAAGATGTCCAACAACCCGATCGACCTGCGAATGAGGTTGCTCTCGCAGGAAGGTGGTCTGAATATGGCCGCGTTGATCTTATCCACAATCCAGACGAACAGCCGCCCGTAGATCCCCTGGAAGAGGAAACTCAGTAAGACGCTGGCTATATGGACGCCAGCAAATACCTCATCAACTGTCTATATTCATGTTCCCCAGAGGATGAATCCTAATGACTTTTGGTGAATCTCTGACTTTTCTTCTAGCGCCACCATGAGGACTATTTTATTGAACTATCTCAACAACTATTGAATGTATTGACACCCTGATCTTTCTTCTGAAGGCATCATCTGCTCAAAAATGTAATTTCGTTCCATACTTAATAGCTAGCTTATGAGCCTGTTAAACTAACACGCTGAAAATTGATTGTCAATGATTATACACTTAAAATAAAACATAAATCTCAACTTTGAAACTTAGAATAACAATCTGAGTCTGTCAGTAGCAAAAACAAGCACTTTTAGTGGACGTTGTTTGACATTTTGGCCCGTTTTGCAAATATTTTCTCATCTAACTCGATAGATTAAGAGTTTATTTCGACCAAACGAGCATTGGTGATTGTTGGACGGACTAAAAGATGATTTTGGTGAGTTTTATTTTGTTTCTGTCCAGTTAACTGTGTTTTATGATTAGCTGCAAGGTAAAATTAGTGTTTTTTTTCAATGGAGTCTGGTGAGCCATAAGCCTATTGTTTCAGTCTGAAATGCTGCTGTTTGTGTGCATCATCTAATGGCAAAATAATTTTATATTTAAACCCTTATTAAAAATCTGAAAATGTCTCTGATTCCATATTTTGATTGTCTTTCTGTATTTGTTGTGTTACCTTTACGAAGGCGTCCCTGACATCCAGGCCTTGTTCCACACTGAGAGGCGTGGCGACACTTTCACCGCGTGTGATCAGGGTTCGTGTGGTCAAACACACCATCACGTCCTTGGGCTCCACCTGCAGTGCACAACAAGCAACGTTAGAAAAATAAGGACACATTAATACGAGTGTAGAGACTGACCGATATGAGTTTGAGACTGATTTTAGAAGGAAATTCACCTGATTAGAGAACATGAAAATAGACCGATTCTGCACTGATATGATTATACAGAAGGCTGCTTTCCTAAACAAATAACTTTATTAAAGAATATTTGAGTTAAATATTACACATAAATAACATGTTAAATCATTTAACATATATCAATATGACAAGGTATACAGTGCTGGATAAATGCACATTATACATCATTCGTGAATGTTAAGAGCCACATTAAAGAGGATTTTTAACTGACTCCAATTTAAAGCAGATTCACTATGTGCTTCTATTTTCTAAGACTGAACTGAACACAGACATAAAACTGGATTTTAAGCAGGTGATTCTGATATATTTGGTATAATTTGGTCGACACACACCTCCATGAGTGAAGCAGCAGTGACCAGGTCAGGAGATCTCACAACCACACAGGCGTCCAGGTTGTCATACGTACGAGCTGTAAGGGGAAACAAAAAAGGAGACTATATATATCTCTTAAGACTATATCATAGACACAATACATAACAACCCGCTCGTGGGGAAGTTTATCGTACCCTCGAAGCGCAGGTTGCCCATGTGCAGGATGGCAGCCAGCAGCTTGGAGATCTCCCAGCTCTCAGTCTCCGTGAACATGAGGACCTTCATGGCTGATAGGATGCTGGAGTAATCCCTCAGATCGTCACGACCGTCGCACGCCGTGCAGTTACCCTGCAAGGTTAAAGACGCAGAGATTAGCTAGTGGAGGGGCTCTAGTGAGAGGAAGTAGCTCTGTTTTTCTGCATTATCCCATTTAAATCAATCTAAAATAAGAACTATAATAGCTTAAGCGTTCGTTCTTTTTGCAGCAGAAAGCTAAGGTTTCTCTGGGTGATGCGAGGTGCTGCAGCTGATTGGTGCGGATAGAGAAGAGCGCAGTAGCTATAAAATCACAGTAAGAATTAGCTAACATCTCAAAAAATATGGAACTGTAAACTGAAAACAGGTCCAATTTTTGTATTTTTTTCATTATTTTGGTTTATTGACTTATACAACTTTTTAGCTCAGGTTGTACAGATTTTAGGGATATGAATCATTTCAAGATACTCAAAGAAATTATGTCACAATAAGCAAAAATACCGATGTAGGCGCTGGCGGACCATTTCTGTTGCAGAATTCAAAGGGTTAACCTGACGTACATTTTCCATTTACTGAGTCTTCATCTTCTTGGATATGAACTAAATATCTTTGGATTTTGAACTGTTGGTCAGTTTGGCTTTTGGGATATCATGAATAATTTTTTACAACTATTTTCCTTCATTTTATGGAACAGTTTATAATATGTAACATTTCCAAATTATTATTATTATTCTGAATTTTCTTCAAAAATAAGTGTTTTTATGAGAAAGAAACAAGCAAGTATCATCAGCAAACAGTAACACAAACGTAGATAAAGATGCACATTAACTGCGAAATGTGGTTGAAAATGCTGGAAAAAAGCTAGTATTTATTAAGAAAATACAATGTTTAGGACAGATAAGGTCCACGAGTTTATCTATTAATGGATAAATTGGATAAAGTGAATAAAAAAGTAAGTATGTTTGTTAATATAACATACCACACTGGAGTTAGATGCTAATGTATCCAGATCTCAGTGGTAATAGAAGCTCAATAATCAATCAATACACACAGTATGAACGGTCTGTCACACAACCACAGACTCACCATGGTGAGGTAGGAGTAGTCTGTGGCAAGGCCGAGGCCCAGCTTGGCCTTCATCTCCGGGGCCATCCCCTTCAGCATACAGTAAAACACATGGTAGTTCCTCTCATCTGAAGCCTGGAGGAAATAACAAAATAATCAATTTATTAACACAGGAATTACCTGCATGTGTTACTGTTAGTATTCACTATATTGTTATTGTATGTTGTATTATTATCATAGTCTATATCTACTGTACATGTATGTATATGGGGGATAAAACAGCATGAGCACTGGATTGTTTACTTTAACAACATTAACATTTAATAAATTGATTCTGACACTTTAATGTAGTTTTAAGCAGATATATACAGTTAATGTACTTGTCAACAACTATGACTCATCTGTGGAGGATGCTGTATAAACAGATACAAATGAAATATGTCTCTACAGAAGTTTTAAGAAGTAATACTGCAAAATAAACACTATTATTGTAACACTATTTTAGCACCTTATGAATTATGAACTTATGAAGTTCTTATAAATGATAAAAACAAGGAGTAAAAGTTAGTGCTTCAAGACATAAGGAATATTATTGGTGACAATCTATATTTGCAATAGTCCCAAACAAATGCACCACTTACTCCAAAAACTACATTGATAAGGTGTGTTATTAAAAAATAAAACTGTGTATTTGTGACCTGTTTCTAAAGATTTCATCAGACAGGATACGAAAGTACCGACTGCCGCTCTGTTAATGACACTCTTTTTAATAAAGTCCTTTAAACTTTCATCCACTTTACAACAAGCTACAAGACACCAGTCTGATTAAATGATGTATTACACTATAATCTAAAATCACAACAGTACATGTAATGTCATATTCTTTTACTGTTGAATGGATCAGAGTTGTATAAATCTGATCCGGTGCCTCACCTGTCGACACACACGGGACTTCTCCAGCAGGTACTGCTCTATCTTGGCTCCTTCGATGGCCCCTCGCTTGTTGAAGTGGATGTCGATATACTTCCCAAAGCGACTGGAGTTGTCGTTGCGGATGGTCTTGGCGTTGCCAAAGGCTGAATGAGTACAGTGAGGTGATGGGAATCATTGAGTAGACTCACAACCCCCTAACTAAGTGAGTTTATATATATAGTGATATTTTATATTATATATATTATATGTATAACAATAACAGAACAGAACAGCTGTACATTTAACCCAAATATTAAACAAACATTAAACAATAACTGTAGGAAGTTTGGTGTAAAACAAGCGATTTCGATGAATTTTAAGCAGATTATTTCCTGTGAATATTGATCAGAGATAAGATTTGATTTGTTCAGATGTGTGTGAACATTTGTGTACAAACACTGTGCAGCCGTCTGACCTTCCAGGATGGGCGTGGCCTCCAGGACTTGCTGCTCTATCCAGGAGTGTTGACCACTGATGGCCGCCAGGAACTGCAGAATCAGCTTCGTGCTCTCCGTCTTCCCAGCTCCGGACTCACCGCTGTCACACACAGAAGACAATTGAGGACAATTGGACAAAACGTAAGGAGTATATAATTAAATAAAATTAAATCAAAACAGAAAGTTCAGTTTTAGGTTAATTTATGTCTATAATCTTTATAAACTGTGTCCTCTGGCCATCCAGCTGCCAGAATATAGATAACATAAATACATAATACACTCACAGAAACTACTGCAAGCTTAGTTTAGTGGTGACTAATTTAAAGTTTTTTCTGCCCCCGCGTTAAAGGAAAAATTACACATTTGGGGAAATAAACGTAGTCACTTATAGAGTTAGATTAGTAGATTGATACCATGTATGTACATTAAATATTAAGCAACCATAAGCAGCTGGTTAGTTTAGCTTAGCTTAGCATAAAGACTGGAATCAGGAGGGAACAGCTACCCTGGTTCTGTCCAGTCTGCCTCACAGCCACCTGTAAAGCTCACTGAGGAAAATGGTGGAAGTATAAAAACCAAGTGTAAAATCAACTAATCACCAGTTTACAGGTTGTTTTTTGTATTTCTTTGTTGTTTGTCTGATGACAAAAACAACAGTATAGACAAGCTACAAGACACTGGTCTGATTAAATGATGAATTAAACTAGCCTCTAAAATCATAAGAGTACATTTAATATCATATTCTTTCATTATTGAATATCAAAGCTCCTCAGTTCTCTCATTTTCTCATCTTAGTTTGCAGGAAACCAGCACAAACACGTGAGCCGGTTGGTGGATTTTGTTACATTTGGACTCTCTCTTCTAACTCTTAAGAAAGCAAATCAGGTTATTATTTACAAATATTATCATTCAGCTCAACTGCAATGAAAAAAAAGGCTTAAAAAAATAAAAATATCACATTTAAACTAAATTAAAGTTACTTAAGTCTTACTGCATTAATAATGCTGTAATTTACACACTATGGTTGAAGAATCTGTGACTTAGTTGTTAATAAATCTTCTAATTTCCATCCTAACTGCATGTTCACACACACACACAAACACACACACCTGATGATGCAGCACTGGTCCTTGTTGTTCCGCTGCATGTTGAAGTAACAGTTGTCTGCTATGGCGAATATGTGCGGCGGCAGCTCGCCAATCTTCTTATTGGTGTAGAGGCGGATCTGGTCTGGAGTATAGATGGGGAGCAGCTGGTAGGGATTGACTGCAACCAGGATTGAGCCTGTATATGTCTACAGGAAGCAAACAACAGAGGAGTGGATGATTGAAAACACTCCTCAACTATTATACATTTTAAAGACAATATCTCAAAATCAAAAAGTCCTGTTGAGACTTTTTCAAACTACTGTTGTTATATTTTCCAAATCATACAAGAAGGATGTAGATATGATCTTGTTTAATTTTCCCCTAAGACTTTTATTTTCATTAATTCATTGGCATTCCTGACAATTTCACTCTGATTTGATTGTTTGATTTTTTGAATTTGACTGATTGGAAAATGTATTTCATTTACAAAATGAAGTCAATAGAATCTATTACATTAATCACATGAAACTGAAAGCTACTGAATTAGTTGGAGCAAAGTTAAGTTACTGTAACTGTAACATATGAAAACCAAGAGAAGCCATGAATGAAACAACATTTTTACCCATTTTAAAATCAAGATCATGACTGAAAATATCTCTTCATCTTGTGATATAAACCTTGTGCTCAGTGTGGTATCGATCTTTTCATTTAACTCTCTACAAGAAAGCAAATAAGTGTATTTCTCTGAATCTCAAACTAATTGATAGTAAAAGGGAAGACCTACAGAAACTTGTCCTTGCTTTCATTTCCACCAGGTAACTTCAGCTCATTCAAAATTCTGCTACTAAAGAAGAAGTACTGCTGTTTGTCTTTAAATCTGTCAGTGGTTTAGGACCAACATGTGTCTCTGGTTCTTTTACCACAAACTAAACCCTCTGTGTCTCAGGTCATCAGGTAGCATAATGCTAACAGTTCCTAGAGTCAACACTAAACATGAAGAAGCAGCATTTAGTTACTTTGCACCACGAACCTGCAATAAATTTCAAAAATATAATACTTGCTGTGACTTTGACTACTTCTCCATGGCTTCTCTTACCACACAGTTACAGTCGTGACATGTTAAACACGATAAATACAGAAAAAGAAAAAATGTTAGGGAGGATGCAGCATCGCAAAAAAAAAAGAAAAAACGTGTTAGCAAAGTTTTCTGTTTCATTGTCATACTCACCCTTCCACCACAATTCGTCTACATGGAGAGAGAGAACAAAACAACCAAAAACTATTAGAGAACTACCTCAAGGAATACACACAAGTACAAGTTTTTAGGAGCTTGCCCCTCTGGTCAACTGAGCTGTTAAGCACCAACTACTAGACCACCGTAAGCGTTAATTAATCCTGCGTGGTTCTTAGAATAAAGCTCGTACTCAGGCGTGACGAGGAGCAGCAGCGTGCCACAGATCAGCCTCAGTTTGGAAAGAAGAAGCTGGATCCACTTCCTAAACCAAGTTACCAAAGCAACCTGGTTTTGGGTTATATATAAAAACATCTAAAAGCAAGTAAGCAGTCAGTAATCA